AAAAAAAAACAATAAAAAAAATCTTGGCATAAAAGTACCATTGTGCATCTTTCATTTGGTATTCCCTTTTGGTTGCACCTAGTGCAACAATGGATCTGTCAAGTGAAAGCCCATTGATTTTTAAACAGCGACAAGAGTAATTATGTTGTCTGTGCGTTTTTAGATTAAATAAAAGGGGAAAATAGTTTTAAGCGATTAATGAATTTTATTTTAAAACTTGACCAATATGAAATGATTTTTTGTAGCCAATTAAAAAAAATGATATTACAATAATTAGAAATAAAATGTGGGTAAAAAAAAATAAAGAGGAGAGCATTTACATAACAACAGCAGCAACGATAGCGGCGGCAGCACCAGCGATGGCCTTACTGGCAGTCACCTTGAAGCCGGCAGATTGAGCAGAGGTAGCAGCAGCGGCAGCAGAGGATGAAGCAGAAGAGGCAACGGAAGCAACAGCGGAAGAAGCAGAGGAAGCAGCAGATCGAGAAGCAGAGGCAGCAGCAGAAGTAGCAGAGGCAGCAACAGAGGTGACAGAGGCAGCAGCAGATGAAGCAGAAGAGACGACAGAGGCAGAGGCAGCACCGTTAGCAATGGTGTTGCTGGCAGAGGATGAGGCAGAGGCAGAAGATGCAGAAGAACCATCACCAGCTTGAATAGTGAACATACCAGTGTAAGAGATATTGGGGGAAGTACCTAATTCCAAGGCATAATTGTTGCCAGGAGTGATATCAGAAGGGACGTTCCAGGTGTAAGAGCCAGAAGAAGCATCAACATTTTCAGCAATGGTACTAACGGGCTGAAGGTTGGTAGATTCACCTTGAGCCAGGACGATTTTGGAGATGGAAGAAACTTGAGGATTAATCCTTTTTTAAATAAAGTAAATATACAATAAGTTCCCAACAGATGATTATTAATTACTTACCAAGAAATGATAGCAGGTTTACCAGCAGTGTAGACAGTACCAGTAAGGGGAGAGGTGACACTGACGATGTTTGTTTGAGCAGAGACAGCAGAGACAGCAAGGGCGAGAATGGCAGCAACAGAGAACTTCATTTCTTATTATACAATTGATTGAAGAAAGAAGAGAAAATAAAAGAAAGAAAAAGAAAGATGGCTTTTTATATCAAGACCACCTAAAAAATGACGGAAGTTGTATAACCTATCGGAGACAAAAGAAAGGTGGCAGTAAAAAAAGAGGAACGACAAGATGACATTAGAACATAAATATTTTTTAGATTCCGTTTCTTTATTTGTCTTCTCAAACGGCCAATGCATCTATTATGGAATTGAATAACTAAGCCTTTCCTTTCTTTCTTTTACTGCATTTGGTAAATGTCATAAAAATAACCAAACGTACATATGACATATAATACAATAAATAAGCTTTTTTATGCTCTCTCTCTTTTTATGTAAACCTCGGTGATATCAATGTTATCGAGTTCCTTAATGTTCTTTTTGGGACTATACCATAATATGCTTACATGACGTCTAATGCATAATATTGTGATACCTAAAGCTGGCTCATAGATTAAAAAGTCGAATTATGCTTTGTATAATCTCTATGAATCATATATATCGTATATCAAGTCTGACATAGTAAGCCGTTGACTCTTTCGTTAAAAATACTTTATTGTAATGGCTTGTGTGATCATATAACAGTTATCACATCATCGATTCTATGCGTGTGTAACATATCATCCTCTCGATGAACGGGAAGCAGACTGTGGAAGTCAGCACTTGAAGAAGTGACACGGAACTATAACAAATAAAACTCATTTGCATAAATATCGTCATCATTATGAGCTGTCTCCCTTAGGAATACAATCAAAAGGATGCCCTTGATATCATCTTGGCTGGTGCCTTGCTTGTTTTTGTTTCTGTTTATCTTTTCCCATGATTGAAATCAAATGCCAAGAAAATATCATTTATTAAAAGTAATACACACATTAGACACAAAATACTCAATTCATATTAAGGATTAACACATATTTATACAAAGTGAGTAAGCCATACTTACAGAGATACTTGTCTTGACACATCTAGAATTTGATAACCTTCACACGTCATTGCGAATGATACTTTAGACGCCACTTTACTCTCTTTGACCACATTTCTCATCTTTCCCAGCCCGAATTACCCAAAAGATATACTCTGTCAATCGTTGACTGAGAATGGTAAAGGCTTTATCTAGTGCTACCTCGTATCTTCCTTTCACAGACGCCACCTCGTTCAGCCAAATCATTTGACATATTAGGGTAAAAGGATTTATGCTTTTCCTTGTAAGACAGTTGAAACCAACTACGTCCCGCTAACCCGCTGTTTTTTTTTTCCCTCTCTCTGTTACAGATTGTATGCTTTTATATTTAATTGAGTAAACAGTTACTCCTATATTTTGTTACTTGGCATCACTGTACTTTCGTCATTCTGTCTTTTGTCAGTCCACTTGACTAAAATAGCAAGTTCCCTGTACACTGTTTCTAGAAAGCCGTGTCTGGTGAGAAATCATGTCCCAAGAGCTTTTATTGAAGAAATTCTGAGAATTGTCATTAGGCAGCATAATTTCAGAGATTTTTGTCTCGAAAAGTCATGGCATATGTCTCTAAATACGTTTTCACCAAAAGAAATTGACCAAATGAACCCATCAGTCCAGTTCTTCTCCAGCCCATATTTCATTCTCATGGGTGTACATCAGTTTTTTGGTTCTTTTCATAAAGATTCTCGAGTATTCTAAAGTACGCAAAGTAACACAACAGATTCATCAATCCTTACTGGACATGATTCAACGCCTTAAGAAGTGACTTTTAAGACTCAACATTCAGGAACGATAACAACCTTTTGAATTAAAAAGTTCAACATATTTATTGCATAAATAATTTCAGTTTGAATTTCATTCATCTTTCATTGCAAAATTGTTTCAGCGAATAATTTACTTGACAGTCAATGACTGATGCATAACTCATCTCTCTCTTTCTCTCTCTTTCTTTCTCTCTCCTTTACTTTGTCATTTTGTTTTCACTCGAGTTATTCTTTGTCGTGTCTAATTATTACACTAGACCCAACTTGTCCATCCTTCATACATCAAACAAAGATTATCTACAGATGTTGCTTGCTCTATCGTCTTGGATACCTGTTCTGATACACTCATTTTGTGTTGTATACCAAAATCAACACCTTCAAGTTTCGATCTAATCCTCTTCATAATCTTGGCAACATGTGTATTCTTTAGTGGTTTATCTATTTATATATTTAATAAGCTCTCCTTTTGTCTATTCATTCACACTTACTCTGTTGTGATGTAACCGTTCCATTATTCTGTTCCTCAGCATATTCAGTTTCTTCATCAGCTACTTCACCAGACGGTTTCAATTCATCTGTAGTTGCAGTAACACTCATATTACTGCTTGCTTTATTGTCAGGGCCGAATTCTTCTAGGATTTTTAACGAAGAAGCATATTCCGCATAGAGCTTGCTTATCAGTTTTACAAAATCGCTTAATTGAGTATACGTCCACTCTGATTCGTAACCTTGATTTAAATCAATTTGCTTATCCAACTTCTTTAACTGACATTCCATTGCTATCAACGTATCAAGTACACTCTGTACAAACACAATGTTAGAGATACACGCATAATGTATTCTTTCTTACCTTGGCAGCCTTTTGAGCAGGTCGTAACTCATTGTCGTCATCTGTTTCGATGATGATGATAGACTCCAATAAGGGCAAAATGCCTTCCAAAGGAGAGCGTGATCTACTGACAACCGACTTGACGCACAGAATTCGGTCATTTACTTTGTTAAGCACATACGTGGGGACTCTGTACACCGTAGCTTCGTTTTCAGAGTGATGAGGATCATTTTCTGGCTGATGATCATCACCTTCTGAATCACTGTCCTCTTCCTCTTCGTCGTCTCCTTCCTCATCAGCTTCTTCTTCATTCATATATTCACTACCAAACAGATGCCATCGGTCTAAGCTTTCTTCAAGGGCTGTCATATTGCGTATGACTGTCTGATGCTCTTGTTCCAGTTGAGTTTGTTGTCTGTTGATATGAGCAGCTATAAGACCAAGCCCTCGTTGTAGCTCTTTCATCTGTCGGTGACCTACTTCCTCAGCCTCATACTCCCAATCGACCAAAGGATCGTATACAAATGCGTCAAGAAGAGTGATAAGCACTTCCTTGTGCTTTCGAAGCACACAGAGGGTCTCTTCTGCTGCTGTTCTAAAGGGTCCATCAACGCCGGTAATTCCAAGCGCTGCATGCAAGTTCTGAGTTAAGCGGTATGGCACCAACTCGGGCACACGAAGTCGACGACCTTTCTCAAAACACACATTGTAATCGATATGGATCATTTCACCTGATCTAAAATCAACCAACATATTGTCCAGATGTCTGTCACCCAAGCCAATGATATAACCAATCATGGAAGTGACAGCTAGAGATCTTGCAAATGACGTCGTCTTATTGATCCATTCTTCAGCATTTGAACTTGAATAATAAAATTCTTTCTCTAGCAGATCTTCGGGTGTCTCCTTGAGTAATTCGAGATATACTTTCTTCAGGATATGCTTTGGCCAATGCTTTCGATTACTGGAAACGCGTAGTCCTGCTGCTTTTAGTGCTGAATAAACCTTATTAGCAAAACTTTCAGTCGGACGCAGAGAAAGGGCATGAAGGACAGCCTCGTTTGGCTTATCATTGTTCAACATGATGTGAGCAGCTGATTCTCTCTTTTGCCATTTCTTAAATAATGCATACAATGGGGTTGCTTCGTCTACCCATTGAATCATACCTGATCGATCGCCTAATGGGATAACAGCATATGTTCTAGCCCTCATACCTCGTAAAGCAGTTCTTTCATTTTCACTTAGTAATCCATTCGTTGTAGTAAGCAGTTGCATGATACGTTCATCAAGATGAAGATCTTCATGGCCCTTGAATAAATAAGAATACTTTCTGCCATCGGATCCCTTAAAGTCTAGCTTCTTTGGCTTAGTTTTGGTGGGAAGAATGACAACGCTAGAACTAAATGATTCGATAAAACAGCTGGAATCAGAGTTATGATAACCAGGCATCCCAATGGATGTACTCTTCAAGTTATGCAGGTAAGGAGAAACATGAGCGAGTTCAAGGATGCGCACCTTGTGTGTTTCTTCCATCAGCGAGCGATGTAGCTATTGACAAAGCAGTTGAGTACTCGTACGATGCTCTCTCATTATTTATTATTACCTGTTGGAAACATTCCCATCCTTGACGATATTCTTTAATACCCTTTGGCTTTTGAAGCAAAGTAGACGCTTCTTGTATATCTTTTCCGTATGTTTTCACAAACCATTGCTGATGAGGCGTTAATCGTTCACTTATTTCAAATCCATGAATAGATTTGATAAACCTATCAATAGTAGATATGATTGGCTTCATAAGGTTACTATACAGTTCAAAAAACGTCTTTTCTTTCTTGGCTTCATCTGGCACTGACTTGTCCAATCGGACAATCTCCTTGTCCAGCTCATTAAACTGTCGCATCACTTCAAACTGCAGGTCTCCGATCGTATTCATCATGTCTTCTTCCACCAAGATGGTCATCTTTTGAATCTCCTCTGCCATACGACTAGTAGACACCCAAAGAAGTTCATTGTGTTCCATCATTCGATTGGCAATCTTGTTTAACATCTGCTTCGTATCACGGTTTGTCTTGGACGAACTTGAACTGACAATCACATCATAGATTACATCTCGAGGGTACTCATCACATATACGGCAAATGAGCTTTGTGATCATTTGTCGTACAAACTCATTAGGGTGGTTCAGTTGGGCAAAGAGTTGAGGAGTGACGCGTTTCCAAAGGTCTATACGGACAGTATCGCTATATTCTTGATAGACAGACTGTAGTGCTGTGCCATATTTTGAAAGAATTCGCAAGAGTCTAAGGGTTGCTGTTGTGACCATGGAAGTATTTGACATTTCGTCATGCTATATATTATAAGGTTATTTTTTTTTTTTTTACTAAATCATTGACTATGAACTCAAATTACATGTGGTATGTGTATATCCAGTGAAAGATAGCGAAAGTAAGCTTGAGCAGATGCTTGGAACTTGTCAATTATTATCTTTTGTAGCTTCTCCAAGGTGGACACAATTGCAGCTTCATTATCAGGTTTTAAGAATGGAACTAACTGATGTAGGTTACTCATAAATGATTGACTGGATGAAATGCTGCTGCTTCCAGTAGATGAAGAGTATTTCAATAATAAATCAATGATCATCTGTGGATGAATGAGTATAGAAATAAATATCATTTTCTCTTTCATTTACCTGCTCTGTCTGCTTTGCGTCTACTGTTTGATCTGCACTTTGCAAATTAGCCTGAATTTGATTCTTTGCCCATACAACAACGGTCATTGTAGATTCTGAATGGGTCAATTCATCTAAAATGCGCCAACCCTGCTTGTAGTGATGTGTTGCATACTCGAACCACGGCCTTCCGTCAACAGTGTCTGTTTCAATTGATTTTTCAAGAGCATAATCGATACTTGCCTCTACAGAAGACTGCAGTTCGGTTGCAGTACGCTTCACAAGGTTAGAATTAAGCTTCCCTAACAGACCAGACACTTTATCTTCAGGACTACTCTTTAGATAACGAGCAATATTTCGGTACGTCTTGCTTTTCAGCTCCTTATGTTCAGGCGCTGAAACAATGTGCGATAAGATGTCGTTGAGGGTATCCATAGCTTGTGTGTATTCAAATTGGTTAAACTGAATCTTGGCTCGTTCATAAAGAGCGTTGTATTTTGTACTTGGGAATTGAGCAGCCTTTTCTATAAGCTTTTCAGCAAGTGATATATTGTTGTATTTACGTGCAATCTTTGCAGTATGCAGTTGAATAGAACCCAGGTATTGAGTAACAGTTGGATTGGCGTGCTCCCCTTCGTTCAAGTTGTACAAACTTTCAAAGAATGTAGAAAGATGAGCCCAGCGTTTGGTTTCATAAACAGGGCAAGTTGTATTTTCGGCTTTCAACTTGTACCAGTCCCTTGCGCTAGCCACTAAGTGTTCCCAGCTTGTGTACAATAGCTGTAATTCCATCAAATTAGTAATATTTGAGGATATACCACCTCTGACAGCATTAAGCATTTTGCCAGCCAATCGCATAGTAATTTCATCATTTTGATCAAGATTGGGAATAAGCCAATGTCTAAACGTGTCTAAACGGCTGAGCTCTATACAAGTTTCTAGGGGGGCGGTTTTCACATATTCCTGCATGTCATGGAACACCTTCTGTTGATCTTTTACTATTTTTTCTCCAGAGTTAAAGGCACGTAAAGATTGACATATATAGTCATCAGCGACCATAGGATCAGAAGCAAGTAGGCCACTGATAGAGTCATAATCTTCTAGGCAAGTGTAGAAATCAATAGCCTAATACAATGTAAGTAAGCATTATTTTCAATATATAAACTAAGGTACCTGGCGATTAAGCATCCTTATAATTCCATAATTGTCGGTTGCAACAATTGCTTTTAGATGAGACAAGGATTTTATCGCCTGTTCATCGCGTCCCTATAACTTGTGTTAGGCTCTATATAATCTATGTTCAGTGCAATATTACATATGCGAAATAAGCAGCAACTTGAAACCATGATCCTACTGTTGAGCTATTGGCCATGTCGGGCCTTTTTTGCAGTGGTCCAATGTATCCTTCAAATGTCCAATTTTCCTTAAATTCGCCAGATATCTGGCATGCCTTTCTGATTACTTTCTTGTACCACGATTGAAGACCATTGATCATATCTGTATATTTTTTCCTAATACAAACTTCTACTAAATCACGCAGATATTCATTCACTTCCTTGAACCAAGGTATAGGATTAGCAGGTATGGTATATTCCATTTCTTTTAGAGCCTATTTAATAGTTTAAGTAAAAGCTGAAGCAACATGAAGAGAGTTACCTTAATTATGTGAACAATTAGCAAGTGTTCGTTCCTTACAAGTTTAGCGCCGTTGATCATCATGGGCCTAATACGTGAGAAATAGTCCTTGCAAGTCTTTTTGTTTGTCCTGAAAAACACGAGGCTTGGGCGAGGCACAGCTGGTAAGGTTCCTGTAGCGCATCCATCAGTAGCATTAGATATTTGAAGCTCCAATCGATCAAGTAATAATAGAATGTACTGTAGGGAGGTACTTTTGTTTGAATCTCTGTTTCCCAAAAACAATTAACTTTCTGTAATTATTGTAGGTTAGACTTACAGTTCTGTTGCATCTGTTATAAGTGAATTCAGCGTTCGCTCAAACGCTGCCAAGGTCTAATGTGTATACATTCAGTAATAGTTTCTTTTTGTATGTATATAGTCTGTACCTGTTGAGGATTTCCAAAAGGTGTGCGTAAACGTGATAATATACAGTACCTAGCTGATTCCCACATGGCCCAGTAGTATAATACTGTCTCATGGTTATTCATCAGATGAACTATTTCACTCTTTGGCATGTCTAACAAACATGTATAAGCATCAAGGGTACAAAGAGCCTTTGTTTCTTTTTTACCTTCACAGAGCTCCGAGAACAAGAAGGTGTTTTTTAAGTTACCAATAGTATCACAGTGATGCAACAGTCTTCTGGCCCATTCAGTAGTAGATGCTTGATCCACAATAGTTGTATCATTATTTCCAAGCAAATGTTTTCCCATTCCTAAGTGCTTCATAACAATTTCGTAGTGTACTGGACGAAAAGTACCCGTGTGTGATGTGGCCATGATGGCATTCTGAATGGATAATAAAACATTGTCTTCCACCTTTGATATTTGTGATATCAAGAACGGATTAAGCGAAGTGACTAGGTCTTTACTTGAATCTTGTATCTTCAAATAAGGATCATTTATACTATTTCAAGATTCGTAAAATTTATCATTTAATGTTTCTAGTAAAGTACCTTATTTGTATGAGATGTAAAATAGGATCAACCATGTCTGCAGATCCACAGAGTTGACAGTAATATGTGATGACATTCAGCATACTTTCTTTTACATCCTTATTCCTTTCAATGCCTGTAATCAACAGTTTAGAATAAGAAAAGTGAATGGATATATAGGTAAGCTTACTAGCTGCAGAAATAAATCCATAGATAATTGGCTTCAAATGGCTTGTTGGATCAAATTGAATAACCTCCATGTTGCATACAGTCGTCAATATGCCTTGAGAAAGACCGCACAATAGCCGACGTGATTCTAATGTTAGTTTGATCCAATTGTTCATTGCATCAGATACAATGCAGCACATAGCATTGAATGCATTCTCATCGTTTAGCATAAAGCGTGTGCTTAAAAATGAGTTTTAGTATGATGAAACAATAGATATCCCTTTTGTACCTTGACCAGTAATCAAACAGCATTCTTAGCATAAAGACAAAAACATCGCAACGATCAAAAACCCAAGCCATACAGAGCATGTTTGCTGAAACTAGCAAGTTTTTAAAAGAATACTCTGGCCAGATGCGTGCTATATCTAACAAAAGGTAACCAAAGAGTTGTATATCTGCTATTATGCCAGGTATAGTGTTCTCTCCATCCACACTCTTGTGACTAATGTCATAATGGTTACGCTCAAGCAAAGCAGTTGTACTCGAGAACGACTTTAGTCTCTCATCATACATGGATGGTTTTTTCATTGCCAGCTTTTGTTTTTCAAAATATTCGATCAGTTTCTGATTGATACTTGCTCTAGATTCAGCGGACGTTCTTGCTCTAAGCAGTGATCGAAGTAAAGCAAGAACAAGTACTTTCAATTTCTTGTGTTCTGGATACTTTTGTCGTAATGCGAGCAAGGGTGAAATATTGACATCCAGCATTCTATGAAGGATATCTTTATCGATATCCAATTTCCATAAATCAAAAAACTAGCTCATGTTAATACAATTTTTCTTGGTCATCACTGCCTACCTTCATCAATACTTCAATATACTTCAAGGGATCAGCTGAAGATTCCAACTCGGTTTGTTCCCCAAGATATAAATATATTTGATATTGATATCGACGATACTTTATAGGATTGGATGATATAAACAGTAAAAGAATGTTTCTAGCTATGGTAATAATAGTCAATCAGTACAGTCAAACAGTATAGCCAAACAGTAGCTTACACATTTCAATCCAATGGATATCCGGTAACAAAGATAATGCGTCTGTAACAACATGCAGCGTCTTTGGAAGTAAAAGATCAAGCGGTGATTCTATTATGTTTTTGTCACTGTAAACTTGATATGATGAAGCGCATAGGATGACAGCTTTCAGGACATTATAATAGCAACTGAGTATAATCCTGTTAAAGTCTTGTTCTTGTAAATCTATATCTCATTACCTGAATATGTTCATACAGCTATCCCATCTTTGCCTATATTCTTTCATGTCTTTTCTATAAAGTGATCGTAAATCACCTATGGCGCTTTCGACATCTGTTAATAAATGATTGAGAAGCTCCATGACAAAAGCTAAATCATTCATCCAAAAGCGATCAAACTTGCTAAAGCTGGATATAATAATTGACTTTTTTGAATCAGGTACTGATGCATCCATATTCCATCCTACTAACAAGTCCACTATATCCTAATAACAAAATATGTGTATTCAGCTGACCAAAAGAAAGAATAACTTACAGTAAAGCGCTGAGCAAATAAGTCAGGGTATTGATTGGAAAATACGATCAATATATCAATGATGGTCGGTAGATATTCAAATGATTCCATTGAATCCAGAAAGGACAAGACTCCTTCTAGTATAGTCGGTGACATTTCCATTGTTTGGCGATATGTGTATTGGTCTGCTGCTGAATCTAAGAGGACCTATCCGCATGATTGAGTATATGTTAAGGTTATATGTACATATATACAATACTTGATTCAATAGGCAAAGTAACCATTTCTTCCATTCATGGTCTTTTTTGATATCAGCTAAAGATCTATCCAAGTCGGGCCAGACACTTAATCTGTCAAAGATCCAACTTAGAGCAAGATCTAAACGGGTATAACAAGCTAAACCAGATACAACTTTCACGAGCATTTGCTTCATTGAAGAAGGAGCTTTAGGCATTTCAATCATACGTCTCAATCTTTCATCGTGAATACATATATCCAGCAATTTCATTTGTTCTTGACGAAATTGAAGTGTGTTTACAGTCGAAGCATTACGGGATTCTTCCAATAGTTTTACGAGTTGAGTTGTATTGTTGATTCTGTGTGTAAAATTGATATCGTCGTCATCATTTAGAATACGTCGTAGTATTTGAATTGCTCGTGAGTCAATGGAATCTTGTTCTGTTTATGATAAGTAATGTATAATATTGCTTTATTATATTTACCATAACTCGGTCTCTGTCTTTGATGTCTTTCTCTGTTGGAACCTCTTTGTCCATTTCTGTTGTGATGACTTGCTGCTCCATAAGAATTGTGTTTTTTGAAGCTCATGAATGTATTTGATAAAAGTAGAGAAAAAAGAGAGAACAATAATTTTAACCAAAATACCGTGTCATTTTTACAAGTTGTGTGATTTATATTTTATTATTATTATTATTATTAGTAATAGCCTCTATCCTCTTCTTCACTTTCTTCATCGCTACTAAGCGCAGCTGTAGCCTTTGATTGATAGATAGAACGTTTTGGCTTATTATCTTGTTCTTCTTGAACTTGTTCTGCAGGAACAGCGCCATATTTTGATAAAATAGAACGAAGACCTAACATAGAGCGTTAATTAATAGTATAAACATATTTCAAAACTTACTCTTGCTTGTCATTTTCATGCCACCAAATTGAATGGCGCCTGCCAAGTTTGCCTTGAGATCGCCTTGGCCATAGATCAATAAAGTAGGAACGTTGTGGTCAGGAAAATTGGGTATACATTGATCACTAACAATTTTCACAAATTTAGTCGCCTTAAACTGTGAGGCAAGCTCGGCTAAGCAGCGGTTCATCAATTTACAAGCGGGAATACTATATAATCATGAGTAAAGACAGAAATATAAGCATTGAAACACTTACTAGTCTTTATACAGATGAACTACAACATGGCAGTCTTTGCTTGCTTCTGTTACTTCTCTTACAAAATCAGGCTTTGATATTTCTGTTACTTGTCCATACTTGTCTTTTGCTGCCATTGCTTGCATTTCCATCATTCGCTTTTGTCTAATCAATGTGTGAATATAGTAATGATTAACCTTATTTTATTCATTAACCTGTATTCAAGCAAAATTCTATCATCTTCGAGATCTTCAAGTTCATCAAGTTCATCAAGATCCTTATTTTCAAGACTGTTTTTTTCAGCTTCTCGTGCCTTTAACAAATCAATAAATTCATCTTCCAATTCATCTTCTCTTTTCTCATCTTTAGGAGGAAGAATGCCTTTTGCACGCAAGATGTCGTTCCTATTAACATTAATAAAAGCACACAATACTCTTCCTTACTAGTTACCATTCTGTGTCAGCATTCGGGTCGTCCATTATTTTTATCTGAAAAGAAAAGGAGGGTGATTTTTTTAGGAAAACACTACGCATACGCGAAAATACACGCGAAAATAAAGCCAGTGTGACGTATACATGATTGTTTTTTGGGTTTTACTAATTGCACTGGATGGCTCTTGACGCATAACCAATTCTAAAAGAGTAACGTCAGTGATAAAGACGAATGATAGTAAAGAATAATTACAGATGAAAGTCGATGAGTCTCTACATAACTTCTTTACTAAGAGCAAGAAGAAAGAAAGTACGTCAAGGATCTCCCATTTGCACTGCACATCTGCACAGCACTTACATAATATGTGGCGTAAGTAATTCAATTTGCACAGTAAACAGCATATCTGACGTGATTACCTTATAAATACTTCATATTATCATTATATGAAGAAAAAAAAAAAGCATAAAAAAGCCTGACTACAAAATGCGCTATACTTATATGACGCATCATGCCTAATTCTAATTGGACATGTAAATAATCTTGTTTGTTATAAGCTAGACATCATAAATAAGCAGCATCACTCATGCAGACAAGGTCTACTTTTAAGAAATAAGTACTGTATAGAACTGATTTGAAGATACAAAAAGTTTAAAATGTAACACAGGCAGAATTTGGTGTTTCATTAACAGCAACAAAAGATGATAATAATAATAAGCATTTTTCCATTTTACCTCTCTCAAGTTTTTTTCACTGCAGTTAACATGTTAAAAAAGAAATATATCATTTGATTTATTTTTACTGTCCATAAAAAGCACTAAAGTTTCAAATGTATTTTTTTCAAAGCGGGCAAATATACCAGCAGTACTGTACACCAAACCTGTAAAGATAACCTTATTTAGATTTTCATGACCTCAAGTAAAGTTGAAAAGGAACATCATCGGGTTTACTTGAGCTCGTGCTTATTTATTAGGCTGTACTGAACACTGCTTTGACCCTGCATTACAGTCGGCTTGTTTATCTTTGTCCATCCAGCTAGATATGAACAAGAGATGAATCGAACCAAGATATGGAAAGAGAACAAGTTGAAAGGAAGCGGACTACATAGATCTGGGTTACATGATGAATTAGGCTGTGGAGTCGTAGACTGAGACGCGAAAGAATTGCTAGGATAAAGCACACCTGTTCAGGGTAGAACTACGGTAAACTAGACGATCCTTATAAAAGTTTTGAGTGTTCAAAGTGTATATACAGAATGTAATATAGTCTTGTCGCTATACTGCTTATACCCTGCATGGCCTGCGTACATACAGGGGGCCCTAATATCTTTGAATCGCTCTACGCGTTTCACTTTAAAGGTATCAAGAAATTGATTATGGCGAACAGGGATAATGAATCCAGATATCATGTTATTGCTTTTATTAAACGATTCAGAACCCTCCAATCGTCAGCAGTTTACAAACAGAATACATCTATCAGTAATGTAAAAGTCTAAAAGCAAAGATGAGTCACGACTGTGCATGCATAAAAGAAACAAGACTTTTCCATGGAATGCAGAATTTCTTAAAGCCAGACTCGTGCAGCTGTTGCGGAGGCTTTTTAACAAAAAAAAAGGATATTATGTATCAACAAAGCATGCTTAATGCCAAATCCTATAAATATATCACGGGTTCAATGGGCCAGTGCGTGATCTATTTCAGAAGGCTAATGTGTCAGATATAAAAAAGACATTGGTCATCTTTTTAGTAAGAATAACAAAAGAGAGAGAAAGAGAGAAAATAAGAGCAAGTAAATCTAAAAGTAGTCTAATAATATTAGTCTGTCGAGGTAAATCAGGTCCTTTTACTGATTATTAGGGTCTTTGGATGATAGAATAACACGAATCGTTATCCATATAGAATGCGCCACCAGACAAAGGAAGTATTCTATTTTTAATATTCTCTTTTTTTTCTTTGTTTATTAACTTCATTTTGACGCTCAAGTTTCCTGCATCTTTATTTTGCATGCAACTGAGGTTGAACTATGGACGCATGATAAAGGTTATTTACACCAATTCAAAGGTCTCGCTTCAGATAAGGCTTTGATTAAACTATTGAGTTATGGATGAATTAGACGTTATCGTTTTGTTAACTAAAGTATAAGGAGCCACTGGTGGCATACAGATAAGCCTCAGAAAGAAATAAAGCGTGTATTCGTAGCTGTCGTAGTTCTACAACAAAAGCCTTAACATCTGCCAAAAAAGGGACGCATGGGCTTTTTACTAACATGACCATAGCCCCTTCTTTCACTTCAAAAGTACCATTGCCTTTGTTTTGTATCTTTTTGCTTTTTAAGCCACAGAGTACTTTTTATGCAAATGGTGCGCTTGTACACAGTTAATATCTTCATATTTCATTTATCATAAAGTCAGACAAACTATCGCTTTTGAGTCTATCCAAAAAAGGAGTACCGCGTCTGCATAACCTTAGTTTACAATCCGCGTCAATGTACTTAAGGATAATTTATTTTTGACCCTGGACATTTAATACAAACAAATGACAGCTCAAAGCCAAAAAGTACAACTTAAAATTTATAATTCATATCCAGATTATTAACCGAATAATATGTTGTTTAACCAGAATTTATCAAAGATCAAATAGGGACCTAGAGAACATGTCAAGTGACATATGCCAGCGATAAAAGGTAGGGGCATAAATCAAGATATTCTCAAGGGGAGACAGATGTAGTTGTTCTCGGATATGAAACACTTGGTTCGTTTAGTCTTTTTATTAAAAAGATCCTTTGTACATCTCGATAATATATTCTATTATGGCCGTGAATGTTTTGCATAAACAAGTTATATTCATTTTAATAGAAGGCGTGACTTTCTTTATCTTATGGATCATTGTAAGCTTACAAACAGGGCCTCATAAACAGATACGAGTGTGTGAGTAATGTTTAAAGTATTCAAAAAATATAAAATAAGCGAGTGACGTAAATTGAAAATTTAAACGAGTACAACAATCACGTCTGTTTGTCTTTTTTTTACATTTATTTATTCAACTATGAATAGAGGAACCATTGTGTTGTAAGTTAAACAGAATATGCCTGTACCCGTGACTTAATTTTTATGTAAATATAACAATAACAGAGATATTGACGAAGCAGAATATCTCTTGGACCAATTAGGTGCACCAGATCAAGATGAAGACCCACTTGTTACAAAGTTGAGAAATAGATTAACTTTATTTTTAAAAGAAATTCGTAAAGGAGCAGAAGGTTATTAATGTGATCATCATCTATTACTACCACGCTATTAACGTGTTAAAAATAGGCTCAGGAAAGAAGGATTAATAAGGAATAAGGGTCTAGGTCCAAAGGAATAAAACGATAAACATGACAAAAATTTTCCCGCCCAAACCTTTTTTTTTCTTTTCTTTCTTTTTCATTTTCTTGGGTTTACACTCTCTCTTTATTATTATTATTATTATTATTATTATTATTATATACTTGCATAAATATAATACATACAACACGCACACAACATAAATATATTATAATGCATAAATAATGAGCGACATATCAGAGTATATCTTAGAATGCGACCTCAATTTTTATAGAGCTTATGCCTTACCGATCATAAAAAATAACCCAGAAATGTTTGATTTGGATGGGTTTCAATCAATTTTACATGAAAATGAAAACATATCACTTCACAGAACCATACAAGAAGCATTTCATGAATTCGAATTGGATAAACAATCACAATATGAATTAAATCCAAGATATGGAAGATATGTATGTTATATATATATGTATATCATCTCTCATTTGCCCCCAACTAATATTATTAGGTATGGGACATGGCTGATCAATGGTATCAGAAATGGTCCGTAGTATTCTCGATTGAACATATGTGTAATTGGGTCACGAGTCCATCTTCAAAGCCAACAAAAGTATTTGACGTTACTGCTTGGTTAACTCATACTGCCAAAAAATATTATATTCATCCTGATCATCTAAAACTGTTACAACACCTTAGTCATTATATCGCTGACTGGCATCAATCCAACAGGCCTCTTGCTTTAAGAGGTGTATTCAAACTAAACACGGTTCCTTTCTTTCCTCCAACTTGGTTCATAAATAAATCAAGACAAAGCAAAAGTGAAGGCCTTGCTCCCTCTTATCTGGCTACATTTGTCCCTCCTTACCGTTTACCTGATCATCAAGTGCCAGAACGCTGGAATCAAGTGTTCCTGAAAGGCATCACAGTGCAACCCGATCAAAAGGTAGACCTACATAAATGTTCTAGACTTTTCTTACATTACTATATTAGTTCAATCTTGACCCCATCCTCATTCATTCAACCTTGCATATCCTAGGCATAACAACGGACTATGATGAAGAATCTCAAACAAGTAAATTGATGTTTGTCATGCCCAAGGCAAAATTTGGTAATCTCGAAAGCCATATTGATCGAGAAATACCCAAGGATTATTTGAAACCCTGTCAATTAGCGTTGAGCATCACCAAAGATGTCAAGGATTTACATTGGAACTTCATCCATGGTAATATTCATCCACGTAATATCTTGTTAAATTATGCAGATTATGTCGGCGAGTTGGTTGATATCACATTTATGAAACGAAATAATGATAAAAGCAATATGGCATGGGCAGGTCGTTGGCCTTATGTCGCTCCTGAAGTCGTCTCGACTGGACTCAGCACCTCGGCAGATATTTATGCCCTTGGTATCATCCTCTGGCAATTGATCTCACGCGTCACTTTTCCGGATGACGCCCTGGTAGACCCTCATATCTATCGTATTGAACCAATTCCTGACGTTTTGAAGGAATGGCAAGATATATATATTGATTGTCTACACATCGACCCGTCCAAGCGACCGAATGCTTATACTCTACACAGACGATTAACCACTCTCTGCACCAAACTTAAACAGTCACCAGTGCCTCTCTCGGATATCACCACTGATTACATAAAAGCAAGAAGAGCCGAAATTGATCAGTTCTTATCTAGCTATCGAAAACTTTCACCACAGGAACTGTATGTGTCTTCACCTATGCCTACATCCACCAGTAGTACGGATAGTCATACGAGCACGAGCAGTAGTAATGAATCAAGAAGCACATTATACCAAGTTGGAGATCAAGTATTGACCGCTTCTGTCACAAGGCCATCTCACCAACGACTAAGAAGTTATCCAAGCCTTATTCAAAGCTTTCCCTCCTATACATAGATAAAATACTTTCCCTCTTTCTCCTTTACATATATTCACAGCTCCTCAAAAATCTGCATTCATTTATCTTTCTTTCTATTGTCACTGCTGATACTATTACAGCTTTATAGTTATGCGCGCCTTCATCGTATCAATGTTTAATAGCCCTCTCCTTTTTTTTTTGTAACGACTCAATAAAATATCAATACTATTTTATTAAGAAAGATCAAATCCTGCATCAGCAGTGATAGCATAGAGCAGTTTTCTACACAAGAAGGTAAATATATACGTGTTTCTTTTTGTATCACTTGAAACTTACTCTCTCAATACTCGATAAGAAGAAAAATTGGGTAATTTCAACAGGTTTACACAGGTTGAACTCGTCGGCAACCGGTCATCATCAACACCTGCATTTCGAATACAAAACTTGGGCACCAGCTCTTTAAAACCCAACAGAGGAGGACGAGAACACGATGTGACAAACTTGACAAATTTCATACGCAGTGTATTGTCAAATGATTCGAGCGCTTTCCAAAAGTTTTGAATTGTAGCATCACGTTCGTCGTAACCTGCAAGCACTGTGTTGGCACGTAAATCAGCCAAGTCAATTGGGATCGAGGCACCACCCAAGAGCACTTGAAGCTCCTGCTCGTTAAACATACGTAACCATTTGATATCTACAATGGTTGAAAGCCCCTTGAAGAATGCTCGGCATTGCTTGGCTATCTGTACATTCAGTCGATAGTTGGCCACGAGATAAATATATTGAATCCTGTTTTGGTTGGTCACAGGGACTTGGCTGCCGTTTGGCACAAGTTCAATAGTTTTACTGCTACCCATTTCGTCATGCGTCACAGTAAAGTCAAGTGAAAGGTCTTCCACGTTGCCATCGTACTTTTTAAGCGATAGTAAGCCCTTGTAAAGTTCTGGGTCTAGTGATGATAAATCGTCCACTATATGTTGTCAACAACTGTCAGTAAGGCCTAGACTCATATCTTTTATTGAACTTACAATAGTTTACTTTTCCCAAGCATTTCTTCAAAAAGAAACTTGCAAATGGTACATCCAGCAGTATCCCCTCATATACAGCTTTACCAATAATCAACCCTAGGAATCGAAAGTATTCCAATTGTTGCGCTATATAAATATATATTAGTTACCAGCCCCCTCTTTGTTTTTGATACTTACATTCAGTAGCAAAAGAATTAGGATTTGGGTATAAGAGTTGTTCAGGTGTAGCAACAAACAGACCATAATTGACATCAAATGCTTCATGACTCAGTCCTGTCAAGAATTCTTTAAACACGCCGCCTCCATCAATACCCGCTTCTTCCAGTCCAAATTCATCTACGAATGAAATCGCTACTTTATCCTTCAGCCCAACATCCAATTTATGGAACGCGTTGAACCCATCTTCAAATATATGATCTCTTCGGATAGTTGCGCCCACACGAGCACGGAATCGCTCGTCAATGTTGTTTCTTTTCTTGTCGTTTTGTATAAACTGTTGAAATATCTCTACACGCTGTTCAAAGGGTACCACAAAGGGAATATTGTTCAGGATGCCTAAACGAGGGCTGATAATGGCCAATCTTCCTTTCGACAGCTTCTTCTCTTGCTGATCCGTTTCTAGATTGAATTCTTCTGCCACAGCAGCACTTGAGAAATTATCTGTGTTCAGGTCCTTGATCAACCAGTGGTCAGTAGGGCAAAACGATCGACGTGAGCTACACAGAGGTTAATATTCAAAAGAGGAATGTAAAAAATCAAAGAAAACTTACTCTCTCATATGGATTTGTTGTAATAGCTGCGTGATGGTTGATCGTAACTGATGAAGTTGGATACCTGAATGGCTAATCTCTCTTGACAGGTCCATATTATCCGCACGCCAAAACATGACAAAGGAAATCGTCTTTAAGTGTGTGCTTAGCTGTATGATTTGTTTCAGTTGGAACGGGTGTTGATTTAGGTCATCACTTAAGAGTTCGGTATCAGCAATAGTTAATAACAACCTTGTATATATCTCACATAATAAATATAAAGTGGACCAACTCTCACTACTGTCAGCATCTATTGATAACGTTAATTTAAGAGTATACATATACATGTTGTCATTTTACCTGTCAGAAGTGAAATTGCCTCGTTCAACCGATATATAATCTGCTCTTGTCCAAATAATTGTGCTTCCTTTGACGCAGACCATGACTGCCACAAGGTCTGTAGCAATTGTTGCATAGCAACAGACTTGTACAACAATGTATTTAAAATGTCATTCTTTTTCATTGGCCAACGCAGTAAGAGTGTATTGATAAAGCTAGATACAAATCGTATGGCGTTGCTGTCCGTAGCAGTCAATTGCATGCACCTCGACAGCAGACTGTTTATCTTTTCGGTATTATAAAGTGATTCAAGACGATTCTTTATCAATGGTGATATTTTTGTTGGTAATTCTATCATTTCTACATCCTCATCACTACTATCTGAAGAATCTAACGTACTGTTTAGCTCGCGCATACCTCATGTTTTTCCTCTCCTTTTGTACCTCTGCCAGCATCATCTTGGACATGAATATAATTTGATGTCAAGAAAGAGACTGGTAAATGACTGAGCAATAACTGAATTGCTTTTGCATACTTTGCCTAATGAAACATCAATAACATTGCACTGAAGCCTTCGTGTTATATCATACCAAAACATGGTCATCTAGATATTTCCCATGTTGTATGTATCCCATTTCTGTCACATTCATCAGTAGTCCGGCCATAGACGCGTCGTCCTTGATAGCTCCTTCCTTGACTAGATCACCTACCACAACTAACCATGGACCAAGTGGCAGTTGAGTAACCATATCAGACATTGCCTGATTTGACATATTATCCAGTAAGAAAGGCTCCGTGAATAAATCAAGCGTGATGATGCGTAATACATCGAATGAAGGATGTCGTAAACTGATCACCTGCAAAATAATAGACTCAACGATTTGTGCTACCTCTCTATAGGAAGTCATTGCCCTACGCAGGTAGTCCAGTAGATATGTGCTGCGTAAGGAATAGACTAAGATCTGGACGCGACAATTATCTTTGTCGACTAGTGCATACATTGATGGATTGTAGAGCAGTGAAAGTAGTCGGTAAGCGTTGAGTTCATCTGTGGTCTGCAAGAGTACTTTTTTGATAAGAAAGCACATGAGCCAAGTCCATGAATCTGTGGCAATCATAAACATATCCTCTAAAAGCGTCTTGTCTGTCTGCTTGGATAATAATAGTCTTATATATGGCTGCAGGTATCGTTCTTTATCTTTTTCAGGTTGATAAAATAGTATTAATGCTCGTGTGAGCGTTAAAATGAATTGTGCTTTATCATTCAGAGAAGGCTGTGCATCGAATTGCTCGAGTAAAGTCAAAAACACTTGTCGCGCTTCGTTCCGAGCTATGGCTGCTTGTCTACGTCCCCTATAGAATGCCTAGAATGCCCATTAATGAGTATTATTCTTAGTTAATCGCTCTTGTTTACCTGTATCTGCTGTATACTCCTTTGCTTTATGCGTTCTTGTTCTCTTGCCTTACGCTCATTTTGTGCCTTTAATAGTAACGACTTTTTATCGCCCACTGTCTTGACACCTCCCAAGTTGATGTTGCGTCTTGGTTTATAATTTCCTTCAAAAGTAAAATTCATTATGCAGACACTCAAAAATAAAGAGAGAAAAAAGTACAGAAAAGTCCTTGCGTAGTTCTTTTTTTTTAATTACCAAATATGAAATCAGACAAAAGAAGAGCAGCAGCTAAGCCAGTTTCATATACAAATTATAGTACTGATGAAGAGGATGAGTTGAACGACTATGAGGACGCAAAGTTTAAAGAATCATTTACTGATGAAGAAGAAAATAATAATAGTGAACTCGAGTCATTATCTGAAGAAGAATTAGACGAGGAAGAAGACGACGATGAGGACGAGGACGAGGACGAAGAAGATGAACAGCCCATACCAGCAAAGTCATCACGTAATAATAAAAGAAAGAAATCAGGTAAAGATTAGTCAAGCCTGCTTTGTTAGTATTTAATATGATCTAGTGATTGAGGATGACAGTGAGGAAGGATTTTCCGATGGAGAAGAAGTGATCAAGAATCGACCCATGACAAAAAGACAAAGAGCTAAACTGAATCATGAAGAACCAGAGGATTATTTACAGCTGCCCATGGGTAAATAAGCAAAAAGAACTAGAAACATACACACTCACATTACACATTAGATACGGGAAAAAAGAAGCTTTTAACAGAGGAAGAAGAACAGCTACGCAAATCAGAGGTTGCGAGAAGAAGAAAAAACCAGAGTATACAAAGAGCAGAAAAGGATAAGGCAGATACGATCAACCGTTTACTGAAAAAGCAAGCATCAAAGACAAAGCGTGTGATTGAAGATAGTGAAGAGACAGCACAAAAAAGACAATCAGATCCCAAGAGTATAAAATATGTTCAAAATACAAATGGAAGTCAATTATCTATTCCTCAAGCCTACTCTTTAGAGGATATCTTTGGTGAACTGAAAAAGTAAAAATTCTATACACATAATACAACTTCAACTAATCACACACATATATACATATTGTAGGCCTACGTTATCTACACCTATAAAATGTCAAGTAGAAGGCTGTTCCAATGATCGTAAATACACTGCAAAAAAGAGTGGCAAGTTCGTTTGTTCATTTGAACACTATAAGTTGATGGAAACACAATAAATGTTGCTGTTCTCTTTTATTTTATGTGTGTTTACGGAATCCCTCAACCTTGTTTGTCTTTAATGCTTCAAAATACATATCAGCCAAGTGACGGCAACTTTGATCTAGAAAAGAATGAATAGGCTTATAAAGAAAGAAAAAGAAAAAGAAAAACTTACAGTGGTTGACACCTTCAGTTCTATAACATTCATCTAACTTTTCTTTAATAATACGGGCTTCCATAGCTTTAACCCAATCATCACGGATCTTTTGATTACGAGCGGCGTAAACAGCTAATGGAAAGGAGAGAAGTAATTAGACATGATTACTGTGTTTGTGCATTCCAAAATTTACCTTTGCGGTCAGTCTTGTCAACTTCGCTCAAAGAAGGGACGCTAATGATAAATGAGTATAGTTTATTTTATATAGTTATTAGAGCCACTAACCGTTCGAATTGCTTGTGGTCGGGGTATGCCCAAGGTTCAACGGTAGACATGTTATTGTAAGAGTGAAAAAGTTATAGACCACCCAGGCCAGTAGATAATCCCGCTATACATTTTTTTGGCTTGTTTCGATTTGGGAGAAGTTGAAATAAAACACCGCACCTACGTCACACTTAGACTCATTTACTTTAGGCAGAAAGTCTGTCCTCGCCTATGTCAGCTATTGTAAAAGGTGCAGCAAGCAAAAGGCATTTGGCTTAAATCCTCACGATTTTGAGACAGCACGCCTTATTAGAGCTTTTCCTGGTACCATTAATAAGAAAGGAGTCAAGAGTAAGAGGCATAGCTTAAAAGACCAAGGAAATAACATATTGAATGATGGCTGCACCAAACAAGAGATGAAAAAAGTTAGTGGCTACTTCTTGACTGAAAAGAATAGTCCTCTTGGTTGCAGAGACAAACTCTGCTTTTTGATCAGTCATGCCATGCTTTGCCGTAGCCAAACAGCGCTTGGGATGCAGTTTGCTTATTTGTTCTTGCTTGTACTAGAAAATCAAGGAATATCGGAACAGTGCTCTTAGGGACCACACCCCGAAACGTAGATTTCGGGCCGAACGCTTAGGGGCTACGGAGTGTGGTCCCTAAGAAAAACGGACCGGAAGGGAGATTCTTGGTACACTCCCTCGCCTTCTCATGGAGTAGTATACGAGGAGTGTGCGAGATACTAGTACCTGTCTTTGCAATTATTAGTGGGCGCATTTTTACAATAAATATATATCTTTGATATTCTTACGGCTAATTCTAGAAGCTACCACCTGATTTACTTACTTAATATAAAATAGTAAATTCATAATTTTTCGAAAATAGTTTTATGTTACTTTATTTTGCAGAGAAGGGAAGTTCCATCCCTCTGAATACATACAACACTTTTAAACTCGTGGTAACGTGATTTCGATTTCGTGCACCTACGAAAAATATCGCGCTTGCGATAATATTTATATTAATTGGGTCGGCATAGTATAACAGCAATAGGAAGCGCACACTCCTCGCGACTACTCCATGAGAAGGTAGTGTCACTGTTTTGAGATTTGGTAGTGCGCGAGGGAGTGCGCCAAAAATCTCCCTATCGGAATGCATTACTTTGGTTGCAACTATCATTTTTGGAAAAGCCAGTTAACATGGCAAGATTGAATATGGCTTGTCTGTTCGACATCATGATGTTGAAGTATGCTCTATCGGCGCTCTGGCAAAGAACCTTTTTTCAAGATCCCACTTCGAGAACGAGCCTTTTCCTGACTCCACTCGCCCTGAAAATTAGTACGAGACTGTGGTTTTCAAGGAAGATGATAGATTTACGCCAATTACATACAGAGATCAGCATAAAATCTATGTCGATGCTTTTAAACGGGTTAGTATTCATACCTCCAAGATCACTCATGCCAACCGTAAGAGTGCGCTGAGCATGATTGCTCAAGAGAATGTTTCAAGCGACCAGCAAAAGATGGTCGATAGGTGGGGCACAAATTGTATGGTAGATTGCTACATTTCAAGCTTACTGGTGGAAGCAACGAAGAGTGTGGCTGGATTTCCTCCTCATCAAGGGAAATATTTTTTGCCCCATGCTGTTGTCGTACCTCCCATAGGTTTGCAAGTATTGGTGTTCCTTAATATTGAATTCTGGAAGGAGAAGTTTGATAACAATGATGGAGTACAAGATATTGCTGGGTCAAACTTCTTGGATTTACTTGCCCAACTGAGAGTGATGTTTCTTCAGGTAAATCGAGTATCTTGCAACAAAATAGTCAGCAATATAACCAAACATTTATAATTGCATAGGACTCTGTTATTCTGAAAAAGATGTACCTCAACTATTACCTTTGGGGCGTGCGAACTGTTTGATAATAACCTTTACGATACATTTGAAGATCAGCTACTTGCAATAGTATTGTTTGTCATAGTGTAATATTAACTAACATGAATAAAAAATGCTATTAAAATACACAAACAAAGATAATCCACATAGACTTTCCTTTTTACTTCTTTTTGATAAGCAAAGAGTCTAGCAATGATAATAGTCAGCTCTATAATAAAATTCAATGAAAGACACTCTTTATAAGTCGTATTATTTCCCAATGGTCATATAATACTAATGTATTTACTTCATTTCTATTTAGACATATATTTCTTGTTTTGTGGGAACATGCCTTTTTATTTCATTTTATGAACATTACACTTTTGACTTTACATACACAGCTAAACAACGTTAAACATGATAGAGCTTGCTTAGTTCATTTTTTACTAGAGTATATTTATTCAATTTTTCCAGCGTTGATACGCAATTATAAACAGCGGTGTATTTTGTTCAACTGGCCTTCTCAATTCCCTGTCGTCCAAAACAAGAGATTACAACCAGTGACAGCATCCAAGACTAATAAACGAAGCTACGACTTGAATATTTATCACCTGAGATTATACTAAAATAAATGCATGATGCATGTTTGGAAAATAGGCCTCATCGAGAAATTTCACTCAAGATACTTCTTTTAGGGCAAAATGGACTTACAAACAATGTAATAATACATGTATTAAATGAAGGCATAACCAATACGCATTCAATAGTAAAAAAAAAAAAAAATTAAAAGAAACATCGTTATTTCTTTTTTCCTCTCTTGGAAGCCGCACCTTTCTTTGCTGTCTCTTCTGCAGGGCGTTTCTTTGTGTTCTATGATACAATGAATATAAGTAATATAGACTAACATCAAGTTTACCTTATCTCCATTTGGCACCACTTTAAAGAAATCCTGTACTCTTGTCTGTGTTGCCTGTTTTAAATTCTTTGCTAATCTTTCACAGCCCTTTCTTATACGATCCTCACTAATAAATCACATTGTTAAGAGCCACGTTTACTGCGCATGTTTGTAATTAGTATTTACGAAAATCCTTTCTCTCTCACCAAGAAATCAACAACAGCATCCACATCAGGCGTACCCCAGGAAAGCTATATATGACACAAGTTATTATTTCAACTTTTTATTATTGCTATCCTTCTTACCTCAACTTCAGATGCTGGAGTCACCACAGGTTTAACAAACAGTTCACGAGCTTCGGCATAATTCCAATCTTTTGGTATACCTTCTTTCAACTTTGCACCAAGATGCTTGATTGCTTCATCAATCGTCTTGTGTTCTTTAATCAAATTATAAGCGCTTTTTGGTCCAACACCCTTAATACTCTCAGTATAATCACAACCCAAGAGAATACAGAGATCGATAAACTATAAAATATGAATTCGCCCTGCTACTTTATCTTTTCTTTTCTTTTCTTTTCTTTTCTTTTCTTTTCTTTTCTTTTTACCTGCTCCGAAGTTAATCCCATACCTTCCAATGCCCTTTCCAAATTGATTTCATCAATCGGCAACTTGCGTGCTTCAGAAAACGTCAAGTGGCGTAACAGAACGGGTGCCTTGAACGTGAGAGTATCCATATCTTCTGAGGCAGCTGCATACACTTTACCACCTCTAGCCAGCTCAGCACATTGAGCCTCTGCTTCACAAGGCGCTTCGACATAGGGAATACCCATAGCTTTCAACAATCGCTTACACTCCGCATTATGTTGATCGGTCACTCTGACTGTTCGTTTTGTATATCTTGTCACATCAGCTGCTGTACCAACTTCGGCTGCTTCCTCCATTTTTTGTTGAGCTTCTTCCTTGCGTGCTTTTCTTTTTGCCAACTATATGTATATTAGCTTTTATTTTATAAATATATGTATATCTTTTATACCTCTCCGGATTTCAAAGTAGGTGGTTTTCCGTCAAAGACATAAACTGGTTTAATTCCATTCTCGACTATACGAACCGTACGATAAAACATACCCATCAAGTGACTGGTCGTTTCGCCTTCTTCATTTTGAAGGACTTGACCGTCCTGTTGACGAACGGCAATCATAAATTGATAGATGCTCATCGATGCGTCAATGGCCACTTTACGACCAAAAAAGTTCTTCAATTCATAACGTTTGATTGCATTAGGTGCATGTTCAGAGATCAGCTGATTTAAGCCTTTGATTCCCATAATATGTAAAAAAAAAGAGAGAGAAAAAATAATTACATGGCACGCGCGCGCGTAGTTTGCATGAAAATTTTTTTTTTCTCTTATTTATTTACTAAACACTTTGGGAGGTAAGATCAAACGACGGTTTCGTCTGAAAAATTCTATCAAACATGTAGCCGTTTTCATAGGTACGTCCTCTTGGACAAAATGACCTGAATCTGTAAATATCTCTAGTTGGAATTTACCTTGCATTTGTCCAATAATTAGTGGTTTATCCAGTCTATCTGTTCCTGCCAGTATCAACAGTTTGGCCGTACCAGAGTTTAGAAATTTTTCGCTTAGACCTGTAAACCATTCAGACCAGTAAGGTTGTGTCTTTGAGAGATCTGTGATCCATTTAAGTTTATTATCGGTTGATGTAAGTAAAGGAGGGATAGAGAGTTTGGCAGATGCTAGGTTCATCAAGGTATTTGATTGAATACTAGAGATAATAAGTTACAAAAAAGGTATTTGTCTTTTTACTTTACCTCCATTGAACCGCTTGCTCATATGTATTAAATTGCTTTGGTCTTGAATTTAAGATTCTAGTCATGGAAGATAATGCATCCATGGCTGATCCTTCGACCACATCAATCACCGTGACACCCATGATGTTCTTGAACACTCGCTTATGAGCCACATTGACTACGACTGATCCACCCATACTAATGAATGTTAGTTATTGACCTGTATATGTCAACCTATACCTATGACCAACCAGAACAATGTCCTGATTATCTTTCACAATATCTCGGATGATAGCTATTAAATCAGTCGACATACGTTCCAATGAAAAATCCAATTCATCTTCAGTCTTGGTCGCACCATGTCCTCTACAGTCGATAGCTATCACGCCATACTCGCCTTGGGTAAGCTCCTTGATATGCTTTGCTACCCATCCAAACGAAAGACCGGAAGATCCTGCCCCATGATGCATAAGAAATAAGGGCCCGTCTGGCTTAACTGGGTCACTCTTGTATATGCGAAACACGTCATTGGTTCCTGATATGTTCAAATTGATGGATTCATCAAAGTAATCTTGCCATTCATTTGGACTGTATTTTTGAGAAGAAGAACGCTGACGCTGTGATGATGGAATATTACTATTCATTGTTAATATATTACAGACATGTGTGCATATATCTTTCTCACTTAAAGCTTCCTTCATCTGCTCTTATTGATTCCAAGGGTAATTGGGGCTTTTTAAAGATTTCTCTTTCCAACGACGACATGATTAAAAAGAAAGAGAGAAAAAGGAAATATTTATTATTTAAAGTAAAAAGAGCTACACTTTTGTGCTATTCATAAAATGTTGACCACCTTATTATACACTCACATTTAAAAAATAGATTACAAACTGTATTATTGTCTTTTATAACATTGTTTATTTCTCAATATTTTATCAAGTATACATGTCAGTCGAACACGTCTCAACAAAACAACGTGGTCCTTATCAAGTACACGAGGAAAGAAAGTATTGAGGGAGGGTATACAGCTGGTTTATTCTTTTTCTTTCTCTGGTTCTTGCTTGGTTACTTCTTTTAATAGAGCATCAATCTTGGCTTGAAGTAAATCAGCTTTAGATTCTACTTCAGTCATGAGGCCTTCAGCACCTTCAATCTCTTTTAACCATGTTTGTAAATCAAGGTCTGAATCAGGAATTAACAACTCTTCGCTGGTACTGTTTATAGAAGGTGACATACTAATTAAAAGAAAAAGACAGAACAATCTCCGAATAATGATGCAAAATCTTCATATAAATCTGTTCTGTTTTTTTTTTTTTTCAAGATACAATTTTGTGGCCGGGTGGAGTTCATCTAATTCCTCTTGTAAGTCCTTTAAATACCCAAAAGTACATGAAAAGCCTTACAGGAATTTGTATATAATGCAACCAATGTGCCTTTTGCAGTTGATGGTCTGACTTTTTCATTTATTACAGGACAATCGATCAAGCTCTCAAAGATAGCCACGCTAACATATGCATCTAACGCAGCATAATTAATTTGATCTTATGTGAGCCTAGGAGCATTCCAATTTCCACACCGAACGTTATTTGTTTTTTGGTAACGAAGATTTCAAAACAACAGCACAAACTTTGGCCAAGGATAAGGATCTTTTCTCTATAATCCCTCTATCCTTATAAAATGTTCCCAGCTCAATGATACCTTTTGAGTTTGTCTTGTATCCTTTTTGTAAGCGCAGAAAGTTACCATTTACATTCTTCACATTTTCACATTTCAAAAGATACCTTAGTTTTCCAGGAAAATCATCCTCGGTGAACTCAAAAGTGCGAAACAGGTAAGTTTTGCTTTTATAACAGAGTTGGATAAGTAATACTTCATTTAAAGATGCTTGTGTTTTTCTTAATCCAACATTAAAAGTACCATGATATCTTGCTATCCATTCACAATTGAAACTCAAGTATTCGGGATGATCTTCCAAATTATCCAAAATGTTTTGACATGCAAGGTTGGTTTTTTCAGAATCAGAAAATACAAGCACACCCATTGCATTAGGAAGTACCAAAGCAGGTAAACTCGAACCGTAATCATTGCTAGGCTGTTCTTCAATGTTTGCTGGCTTGCATACAATGGCCTTACTGTCATTTTTCAATAAACTTGGTAGTACACCTTCCAAAAAAGCTCGATTGCTATTTACATTGTCAGTGTAAAAAAGCAAAGGCAGTTGATAACCATTAAGCTTGTAAGATTCCACTAAGGTGTTGAAAGGCGAAGCAAGATAAGAAAATGCCTTGGGTGGGGCCATTGCCTGTATTCTTAACCTATCCGATTCAGTAGTTATAAAATTGTATAAATCACTTCGATTCATTTGCGTATTACGCACGTAAAACGGCTTTTTTGTAAGCACTTGTTTTTTAACAAAAGGTAACACTATGGAGTGATACATCTACACTCAGTAAAAATAACTCTATAAGTACAGTATGTGTAGCTCAAAGAAGAAAAAGCAAAGGAGCTTCTTTGTTGAAGATAAACAAACACCAATACCTATACGCGTCAATAAGCGAAAGCTCAATAATGAAGAACCAACACAGTCAGACTTTGCTAAAAGAAGCAAACGGCAACATAATAATGACCTTACCTATTTTACATGCTTTGACAATTCAATGCATAATTATATCTCTACTGTGATTTTGAATAAGATAAGGAACAGCAAAAAACTTGAGGCTGGCCTCCTGAAAGCGAAAAACAGCTTGTCAAACAAGACAAGGTTTCCACCCGTAATCATGACAAATGCTGCGTCTTTTGCCGGCCTGGAGACTAGTGTGATGAGAAGCTTTATGGAAAACAGTGGCCAAAAGTTGATAATTGAGTTATGGAAAGACTATGTCAACGAAAACTTTGATTCGATTGCCAAAACTTCCAGGGACAGAAATCTTTTCTTTAAAAAAGAAGAATCTTCCTCTTCATTAGTCGAATCAAGTTCAAGTGGTATTAACGTGGAAGAACAATAAAGCATCCAACTTCGACAGGCACAAGTTTCACTTGAAATTATATAACCGATACCAAATCTTGAAGGAAACAAATATTGATCTTCAAGACAACAAAGACTATCTGAATTTACCTTCACAACAGGTTATAAATCCTGCAGACATTAATATTGGCTGCTCTCACCGTCAAGTCAGAAAAAAATTGGAAAGAGCAAAGAAATACACTACTGACGGAAAAGAGGTATCAAAAGCCAAAGTTATATTATCGGAAGCGCCTATTACAACAACAAATGCCTCTATATCCGAATGTCAAACTTCTTTTAACCTGCATGTTGGTTATCCTGGCCAATTACAAAGATTCTACTTGTCCAAGAAAAGAGCAAAATTGCAAAGACAAAGAAAGGAGAAAAATAGTTTCAAAAAGAGATAATATAAAAATTAGTATGATGGTTGTAGAAGCTCAACTAATCCTCATAACACAATAGGATGGGATAAACTAGTGCAACTCATCGAGGATAGAGGTACAGGAGTAGGAAGTAGAATAAAAGGACACTGTAGATACAGAGGAAGATGGTTTGATATAATGTGCGGAAAAAGAGGCAATGTCTGTATTACTAGTGAATATAAGATGTTTCAAACATGTGTCTATTGCTTCGAGCAATTAAAGCATTCACAGTTCGTTGAGGAAAAGAATGGAAAAATAATCAAAAGACTTACAAAGGGTAGCTTAATGTACATCAACCCAGAATGTGTCTCTAGATCCGCCAAGTCTCGGGATACTTTTTCATCTCTCGCAATTGGTTTGTCGGGCCGTACTTCATGTGTACTTGGAGTGCCCATTCCTCATTTTTCTCCAAATCAAATCAGCCAATATGAAATTGAAAAATATAAAACTCGAGCGTCTGCCCTTCCGAGAATAAGAGAAGATTAGCTAATTGCGATGCAATTATGGAATAATTTGATAAGGGGGGGGGTTTTATTAGGACTTAGTCAAATCTTTAATTTTATGGCTTTCGCTTTGTTGAGTATTTAGATTAATTCTGATGCAAACATGTATGGTCACTGATTCAATTGCTTCTCTTTATCAATATTATGTCAATCATGTCGATCGTATCTTATTTTAAAGCCGCTATCAACAAATTCAAGAGTAATAATAATAATCACCAATGACCCTTGTCTTCTTTTATAAAAGCAAAAGTTTATTTTTAGTGTTTAATATGTTTTATACTTTTTTTTTGTTGTTGTTCTTATGAAGCATATTTGTGTGAAAGAGAATCATTAAATTAATCGTTAAAATGTAGCAAAGTCTTGATTATTTTCCATTCTTACTTCCATTGCACGTTGCTTAAGATAGGTATACATCTTGTATTGTAATGCCAATAAAGGAGAATCAGCTGCTGGTGCTTCTGAAAGGTAAGATTGAACATCAACAATAAGCTTTAAAAGACGTTCATCAATGATATATTCATCATCTTGTTCTTGATCTTCTTGTTCTTTTTGTTGATCATTATAATCTGTTTTGTTTACTGCTTCGACCATTTCTTGGTCATAGTCATTAAAATAAGCACTTTCATATTCAATATCTTGAATAGAAAGCTGGTCATTAATATGAGAATACATGGGTTGAATGACTGAAAAGAAAAAATGAATGAATGTATTATCTAATTGAAAGAGTGTCCAAATGTAATAAAGAGAATTAACAAAATGAAGGGAAGGGACACTCAATCAAAAAGATATTTTTATTAAAGAAAAAAAAAAAAGTGTGTCTGTGTCAGTGGTCTTTTTCTCTGTCTGCATTCTGTGTACAATTAAATTTAAAATTCAGATTAATAGACCGTCATTTTGGCTGTTTCTGGAAACTCATCCATATCACGGAGTTTATGATGTTGAATGGTGCCAATGGATTTCAGTCTGCGTGCATAGGCATTAATAGCCGATGCAAAGTAGAGCTATAAACTTTGTCAATTTCTATTCTATACATCAATTTATATATATTTATTTATTTTTACCTGTATGAAGTTACCAAGGAATACAAAGATGCCAATGATAATGATCACTTGTTTTGTTGCACTAGTACAGTCTTCTTGATGAGCAACCATTCTTCCGTCAGGTAATGTCACTGGAGTATAATATGAATTTTGTTTACTATCTTGTTCTAAAAGGTATCTTTGACATTCTGACACAATGCTGTTTCGTTTAACCAACATCATGATCCATGTTACTGTTGATGTCACTAGTATCAAGAGAGCCATTGTCCAATACAAGAATCGAAAGATATTGATCATAGTTCGATTTTGCTAAAAAAAATACATATCAGCTTGCCATATATATCTATAAATGTTCTTTTCTTACTGTGGCACCACCAAGGATACCAAGAAGTGAACTTGCGGTATATAAACTGACAACGGCTACAGCAGTCCAGTAGATACCAAGTACAGCTGACAGGTCTTCTTTAGGGAAACTATGAATACCTATATGACATCACAAACATATTCATCAACCATCTTATATTGTTGTTTACCATCTCTTCCCATTATGAAACTTATTAAACATGCCAAATAAAATAGCTTTCCGATAAATAAGTTAAAAACTGTTAATTTATAGTATTTAATATATTACAAATGAGATAGTTGCAATAACAGTGACTCCAGTTCTAAGGGGCAACATAAGTGATTCTTTCTCTTTTTTTTTTTTTTTTTTCTATCGATAGGATCTCAAGCGTACCTTAAAGGAACACAGAAGCAGCATGTATTTAATCCCATGGTTTGTGTATATATTTGCAAAGGAAGAAATGAAAAAGAAAGAAAAAAAAATTAAAAATAGATTTTACTCTTTTTGTAAGTTATTTTTGGCTTTACTCTTTTTAAGACAGGCAATCATACACAAAAAAAAAGAGAGAGAGACTGTTTTAATAAAATATTACTTTATGCTATTCGCCTTGAAAGAGGCTATTCAAGCAGTGTATAAGCTGTCATGGACAAATATATGTTTATAATACACAAAGAAAAAGAAAAAAGGGCTAGTAAGTGATCAACTTTAAATAGAGCTTAAAAATTAACTGAGATTAAAAATGAACAACCAATTTCTTCAACTAAATCTTTATTCTTCGGATACCAATGACAAGAAGTGAACGGTCTCGCTGCGTGCGATGGCGACTTGGTTGGTTACCTCATGGTAAACTCCAAGCCTGCCCCTTTCATCCAAATGAACTTTTTTCACGTAAGAATAGTTTTTCTTGCTTAGATACCCACAACCGCCTTCAGATGCCCAAATCTATTGACGATCCACTTTCCTATCTTTTGAACCTCTTACCACCAACACTCCTTACCAAGAAAGCGAGAAAATCAATCTATGCCTGGCTCATTCGTTGACCTTCCATATGTGCAATATTGCTCGAAATGGACTACTTAGCTCACTCTCAATTCCCTGAAGCTTCAAATCACCTTGGTGAACCCTTTGTCAAGCGTCTTCATTACATTCAACAAAAATTTTCAGATAGTTAATTATCATCCCTAATACGTAATACTTTTACATTTTCTCTTTAATCCTAAAAGGGTTTTTCATTCCTTCTCACTGCGATCTGACCCGGACAGTAAAGCAAGAGGATACTATGTGCTCATCGGCCATTAAAAATTATTATCAAATAAACCATTCTTAGTCGTAACTGTACAGAGTCGCGGTATTTAAATTCCGGACATGCGTCACAGATGGAACCTGTCATTTTTTTCCCTTTCTCTTTTATTTTAATTTAATATATAGAATGCCAGGACCGTTAAAGCGTTCAGGATTACAGAACGAAGTCATTCAATTTTATAGAAAATGCTTTAGAGCAGCAAGGGAAAAGCCAATGGTAAGATGATATAAAAGTGAACAAGCGTATAACATCCATTAGGAAACTCGACCACGTTTTTATGCATTTATACGTAAAGAGTTTAGACAGCACAACATAAGAAGAACGGACTTTGCTACGATAGAATACATGTTGAGAAAAGGACAAAAGCAATTTGAAGCTTATAGTCAAAAAGGTGTCAAAGATATCCATGTTTAATATACATTTATAAAATCTAATTTGATGTTGTCTTTTCTTTTTGTTGTTCTTTAAAAGTTACTGAAGCAGCTTCGGTACAAAGATACAAATCTTTAAATACTGGAATACAGTTGCGTGGATCTTCGGTATTCTCTTGTAAGCATTTATCATAGGCATTGATCTGTGGTGTACATTGTGTCTTTACAAACTTTATGATACCAACACTATGAATAGTCAATTACACAAGCCCCTTGTCTTTTATTTTTTTTAAACATGATTTACTTTTCTTCAGAGCATTTATTTAAAGCATTTTTTTGCTGCTTACAACTTTTATCCCAACTGTGAGGATAATTTTCAACGCATTTTTGGTACATTTCTAATTGAAGTGCACATTTTTCGCGAACTTCTTCTAATGTCTCATTCATGTTCAAAGTAAAGAAAAAAAAAAACTTTTAATGCTAACGTTTTACTGTTTAGTGTATACTGGTTCATACTCCGGTTGGCGGTCACAGACTACCTCTGTTATACTCGCCAGCAAGAAATCACAAAAGTACACAGCGTTTTGAAAGTCGCTAGCAAGAACAGTGACAGGGTGAATAAAGCAAAGAGGACAAACACAGTGTAAATAGAATAGTCAATAACGGCAACATGCGGGCATACTTGATTTAAAAAGCTTATCTCACTTCGATCGACCTTGCAGTAACAAAGATCTTGCGCGACTCTATTAAATACAGATCATTTTCTTACTCTTTTACCTGATCTCATCAAGGTTATAATAAAAGTTCTGACTATATCTCTCCTTTCATGCCGTCATATCACCTCTCATAAACAGTCGCCTATTTTGATGATCCTTTCATAACCAAAATGCACTCCTTATAAGTTACTGATATACGACAAGATAGGCAATAATACATGTACGTTTATACATCAAGCATAGTCACTACCATTATGGACTGAATCCCTGTCTGTTACAAACATGACACAAATACCTTAAATTAGCCTCAATATTGATTTCTTGTACAAAAATGTCGGGTTTCAATGAAAAAGCAAGTAACCCTCACCGAGTGATGCACATGTGAATCATGTGAACTTGTCCAAGCCAATTTCGGAGATAGAAATAATATGGGGGAGAGAAAAAGAGGAGACTTAAGAGGCTCCCCAGGAAAATGTGGGGGGAGATGTCTGTAGACCAGGTCATACATAATTTAAAATTAAACTAGACCATATACGTTAACACATGAAATCATTTATAATTCAATACAAAGTGAGCCTAACCATAATAAAACCGATGTCTGTTGTCATCAAAGGGAGGTATAAAATGATATGCGACTTACAGTGGTAAAGATCAGCTCACCTCTTTCTTTCCTCCTCTTTTTACATACACGACAATGCTTAAAGTATTCTCACATCTAAAGGTTTATCATCGCTTAAATACTCGATTGTCCTCTTCTTTAAGTGCACTGAAAGAAGGTAAGTAAAGTAACCGTTAAGAAAAGCATATATTAATCTACGTAGATATTATCGAGCCAAGTAGGACATTGACAAAGGAAACAATGAATCCAAACGTAAGAGACGCGGAATATGCTGTACTTGGTGAATTACCTGCTAGAGCAGAGATGATAGAGAAGGTATGTATGTGTGTATGAATGCTGGAGGTAAGGTTATTGACTTTACTACGCCCTAGACAATTCAAGCCGGTCAAAACAAATTCAAGTTTGATAATGTTGTCTACTGCAACATTGGCAACCCTCACATCTTTAATCAGAAACCCATCACATTCTTTCGACAGGTAAGTCACAAGTAGAGGATATGAAACAGAGGGAATAAGACCTTATCTCTATAGGTTTCATCCCTGTGCGAGAATCCAGACCTGTTAAAGATCGAGAACAGACAACTAGTGTCAAAGCTATATCCTAGCGATGCCATCGCTCGAGCAGAGATCTTACTCAAGAATATCGGCTTTTTAGGCGCCTATTCGGACTCAAAGGGTGTTCCACATATTCGACAGAATATTGCCAAATTTATCGAAAATAGAGACGGCTATCCTGCGGATCCAGACACGATCTTTTTGACACAAGGTGCATCAGAGGGCATCCACAGGGTACTTCAGCTACTGCATCAACCTAATCATCACCAAAAGACAGGTGTCATGATTCCTATCCCACAATACCCCATTTATACAGCCTGTCTTCAACTCATGGGCGCCGAGCCTGTGCCATATTACCTAAACGAACAAAAAAATTTCGCGGTTGATCTCTCACGCTTGGAAAAGTCTCTACGCATGGCCCGTGAGCAGAACGTGAATGTCCGCGCATTGGCCGTGATCAATCCAGGCAACCCAACGGGACAGTGCTTGCCAAAAGAAAATATCCGTGAAGTGATTCAGTTTTGCCATGAGAACGGACTGATTGCCATGGCAGATGAAGTGTACCAAGCCAACGTGTTTCATCCTCAGGACCATCCATTCCACAGCTTCAAGAAGGTGCTCAGATCGATGGGACCCAAGTATGATAATCAGGAACTCTTTTCGTTTCACTCGACATCCAAGGGTATGGTAGGTGAATGTGGTAGACGTGGAGGATACGTCGAATGTGTGAATATAGATCCAGCTGTGTTACAAGAACTCTATAAAATATTCTGTATGTTTTCATGTGCTAATGTGCAAGGACAAATCATGGTTGACCTGATGACAAACCCACCTACAGAAGGTGATGCCTCTTACCCGCAGTTCAAGGCCGAGATCGATGCAATACACACATCATATCACAGAAGAGCCAAACGTCTGACTGATTGCTTTAACCGTTTGGAAGGTGTAGTCTGTGAAGAAGCAAAGGGCGCCATGTATCTCTTTCCTCGAATCACGCTTCCCTCCAAGGCGATCAGGGAGGCAAAGCGAGCTGGAATGTCACCTGATAGCTTTTATGCAATGGCCCTATTGGAAGCAACGGGAGTCTGCGTAGTGCCCGGATCAGGCTTTGGTCAGGAACCAGGAACATTGCATATTCGATGTTCATTCTTACCAGAAGAATCTCTCTTTGATACTTTTTGCAAGAACATTGAACGGTTCCATAAAGAGTTTATGACAAAATATAAGGACTGATTGCATTTCAATCTATGATTATTTATTACACACATTCCTTTTTCCTCTCACTTTCCCCCTTGCATACACTAACAAATAAAAGCAAATTGACAAGCATTGAATTTTTACTGACAAGAACTCATTATACACCCCGCCATTAGCCTTTTGTAAAGCTAAGATATATCACAGAAAGATCAACGGTTGCTTTTTCTCTATACTGGTCATAGTTTGGTCCAATAATAGATTCAGAAGAGGGTCGTGCGGTCTTTTATAAATGAACTGAATGTAGTAGGTAAAAACCATAACAGTCAAGCAATCAACAACACCCATTTTTCTATTACTTGGTCAAATACTGAGCATTGCTTGTGTTGCTTTGTACAAACACTGCCATTCCATGATACAAAAACAGAGGAACTTTGCAAACATTTTGAGCAACATTAACAGAATAGAAGTAAAATTATTTTGGAAGAGATGATGTGACACAGGTAAAATGAAAACATATAACATCAAAATGATAGTCATAATAATATGCATTTATTGGTATTTAAATATATGAATGGATATGCTATTGTTGGTATTACTACTATAGGCATGTTGATACTATGTGATTCAACAAAGGGTGATCTTTATCATTATTATTGTGATATTTTATTCTTAGTTTGATCTTTTACCTCAACTTCATTCACTACCGAATACAGAAAACATGACGTTTTAGGAAGGTACTATAAGAATCCTGGTGATATTGATTCATTTCTTCTCTTAAGCACTTGGCATTACATTATATCAATTTGACTTTATTTTCAATAGAGTGTTCATTATTTGAATTACCAGAGATTCTAAATAAAGAGGCTATATAGAGACTTATCGATATCGCCTGTAATTTTCTTTGGCTATTATTTCGGCTATATCACAGCACTGATCCAAACCCATATAGACAAATCAGATAAATCGCGATTGAGAGTTAACTTGAGAAGTTCAAGGGAAGCCGGTAGCTTGTTGAAGCAGTGAATACTGGTTTACTCCTGCATGTTTAGAGCATACTGATCATTAATATTTTTTAGCCTTATAATATCGAATTCATCATTAACCTTTTCTTGATCTCTTCTGAGGCGACTCTTTGTTTATTAATTAAGACTGACGGAGACATGGTCAGAGAGAGAAAAAGTTAAATCTCTTCTTTGCGATTTCATGTAATATAGGCCCGTCATTAACATAATTTTCATTTATTTTTGACTAAACTGGTTTGGCTTAAGTGACACTGACGAGCATTAATTTTGGCCTTGGTAATATTTTTATCGCGTACCTTTAAAATATTCCTTTAAGAAAGTATAGCTTCTACCATTATGCAAGAGTCAGAGGCCGGCTTTGATGATGTTTTATGAAAGAGAAATGGCCAAGAATTGATTAAAACTTATGCATTACCACACATTGGTTCAGGCTCAGACTTCACCATCCTTACTGTATGGTACCTGAACCTGCTCTCTTCAGGATCTCTCTCATTTTTAACAATTTAACCATGTTACTAACGAACATGCAGCAAAATCAACCGTATTGAAAGTTGTCGCTTCATTACCAGCTTCGTCTAAAATATTTCCGTCTTGATTAAAAGCTGACACCTCAAATTCAGATAAAACCTATTTCAAAAAAGCAATTATTTTTTAAAATCCCACAGAGCACTGTAAATTAAGAAATTACGCCTTGTTCCGCACATTTTCAAACAAAGGAATGAAAAGATCTAATTCTAAAGAAAACAACACGAATACGATTTCCACAAAGAAAGCGCGATTCAACGATAACAACAATAAGCAAAAGTTATCCGAAAAGATATATGGCAATTACAACGCATATTACACGTGAGTCAATTTAAAGTAGCATGTTCTACTGATTGACATTTTTATAGATCTCGACGTGTTCCCAAGTCAAAATGCTACATTGATCCTCGTATTGACATGCTTGACCCAGCATTATTTAAAAACAAGCAAATATTAGACATTGGATGTAACACTGGCAACATCACTATCGCCATTGGTAAGCTGAGATACTGTGAATCATATTCAAGCTACTCATTGAAAATATAGCCAAAAAGAGAGAACCTGCACATATACTTGGTGTAGACATAGATGAAAGCCTGATTCAAAAGGCAGAAAATAATATTAGACTTGTCTATTCACTAAGTAACCCAAATACAGACAGCGCAGAACTTGAAAGCCCATTTGATTTAACTCTAAAGTCGCATTATTTTCCACTCTCAATGACGCATATGTTTGGTTTTATTCCAATGGCAGTTCCGCCTGATTTCAAAGAGATAGAAAACTTTCCTTATAATGTCTCGTTTAAGGCTGCAGATTGGACAAAAGAACAAGCTGAAGGAGAGAAATATGATACAGTGCTAGCGTAAGATCATGATAATAATTTTTGTACTTTATCTTACTGGGAATTTATAGACTAAGCGTAACCAAATGGATTCAGATTCACGAAGGAGATGATGGATTAAAGATGTTTTTTAAAAAGATATATGATTGCTTGAAACCAGGAGGAACATTAGTCCTTGAATCTCAAGAATTCGGCTCCTATCAGAGAAGAGCAAAGCATATTGATGTAAGAAATGAGTGAATAAAACTTTTTATTAACAATCGTTAGGGTTCTCTTAATGTGGAGGAAGACTTTCAGTTTCGACCCGAGAGTTATACAGACTATTTGATCAATGAGGTAGGGTTTAATAGCCATCATGAATTGGGTGTTCCTAAAGAAGAGGGCAAAGGTAATGATTACATAGTGCTGTATTATAACTATAATAATATTTTCTGTACTCTTAGGCTTTGCTCGTCCAGTTGTCTTGTATGTAAAGTAATGAACAATAAACTTGTTACGAAAAAATATATATTTATATATATTTGTATGAAAGTGTGTGCTTTATAAAATAAATTATGTACCTTTACCTCCTGCTGACCTCCCTTCCTCCTCTCAGCGGAAACGGATCATTGTGTTCAGAAATGGTTCTTCTTGCTCAAGTATGAAAGGAAAACGAGCTGCGCCTACAAAGCGTATTACTAAGGAAATCAAACGAAAATGCAAACAATCTGATGGAGACCGAATTTATTTATGCTAACAAATATTTAACAAGTCAGATCTGTAACAAGTGTAAAATGAAAGAAATGAATAATTTCTTTGTTTCTGGATCAAAGCAAAGGGTACATGCTGTCCTCAAGTTTGAATCTTGTGGCATGGTGTGGAATCGCGATGTGAACAGTGTATTAAATATATGCAATATCTCTGTTTATAAATCAAAACATGACAATGAAAGTCCTCCCTCTTCAAAAGACTAACGGTGCACCCTGGATTTAATGCGCTGTCTATAACGGCAGTGCATTCCTTAACGCCTTGATAAATATAAAGCGAATAATATATTATTTTTATTCACTAGTCTTCTTGTTACGAATAGCCCTGTGGCTTTTACAATGTGAAATATATTACGCTTTTATATACGACTTCTTTGGTTCTAATAGCACTTTATTCAAAAGAGAGCTAATACACGATAGGACTGATAAAAATAATATCTTACGTTCTCTGTAAACTTTGAAGATTGTTTAAATAGCCAAAACAATGGTGAGAAGAAAAGAGAACGTAGATGGGATAAAATATACATATATAAGCAATAGAGTGCTACTGCTATTTTTGGTAATTTTTGCAAATACAAGATTTAAAAAGGGACATGCGTAACAACTTGCTCTCTTTCTCTCTTTTTCATTTCAAATGTCAACTCGAAAAGTAGCATTAACCTTGTTCAGTTCAAGCACCTGTTCTTTATGTACGACAGCAAAGGCAGCCATTGTCAATGTACAAAAGAAGGTAAGATTAGCTACAACGCTAAAGCTAAGCTAATAAAATAGAACAGACACCGTTTTCTTTAACCGTGTTGGATATTCACAAGGAAGAATGCCCAAAAGAGTTTAGAGATAAATACATGTTTGATATACCCGTTGTGCATCTTAACGATAAGTTTTTGATGCAGCATCGAGTACCAGAGGATTCCTTGCTGGAAGCCATAAAACACTATGAAGCAACAGGAGAAATCAAAGCGACACGTTAAAGGGGTCATCTTTGAGTGGTGTACACACAATGATAAATAAAATGGATAGTAAAAAAGAGTAATATATGAATGAATGGTTCTATTACTGCAATGTATCTTTTTGCTCTTCCTTAAAAGGTATTTAGACATCGTCCAATTTTTTTTTTTTTTTTGTACTTTCTTCCTAGTTGATCATGGCAGCAACAGAAGCAGCAAATCAGTTTTGGCAGCAGTTTAAAGAAGAACAATCAAGTATTGAGAAAGAAAATAATAAAAACATATTTGTTCTTTCACCAACTACTTGTGTCTGTGCTTATTGTAGAGATTGAAGATCTATTGAATGAATCTTACTCATTACCAAAATCTGACTTGTCTCAGCATTTCGATACTATCTTGCAGAGAATAAACACAATGGAAAAAAAGCTTACGAAAGCTTTGGATTATATACCATCCTATGATGAACGTCAGTTTTCCTTGGTAATAAAAGAAGATAACGACAAAGAGAGATGGACTGACTTGTGTGTGTATATAGCAATTGAAATCACTTGGTGACAGATTAGAAAAGACAAAAGCAGAACTAACACCCAAAGCAAAGTTTTCGTTCAAGTCGCGCAAGAAGAAGTCTTCAGTACTTAAAACAACTTTAACAGAAGAGAAACCAGAGACTGATAATAAAGAAGAGCTATTATCTGATGCTACTGTTTTATTAAAAGATAAATCAAATACAACTTTACGATTAGACCAAAAGACGATAGAAAAAAAGAGTATTGATGTGTTGCTATCCAATTTAAAAAGCTGTATTGTGATCCTAGAGGATCCAAACATAACGATATCAGCTGTACATATCAAAGATGTCCAAGACTGCGTGATCCTTTGCAGGAAGATAGATGGATCAGTACTTATTTATGGCATAAAGCATTCACTTTTGGTAGTAGGATGTCATCAGGTAAAACGAGGTATAGTATAAGGGTTTCATTACACAAGACTGAACTGAAATATTAGCTCCGTATACACGATGCAAATGAGGTGGATATACTGATGCATGTTACAAGTCGCCCAATTATAGAAGATTCAACAGGAGTCACTAGTGGCAAATATACCATTCAGGTACAGTTTAACATATTTCAATATAAACCAGGACTAAACTGGAAAATAACAATCTTAGACTGAGGATATCAATTACTTTGATCAAATTGAAGACTTTAACTGGTTAAAAAAACAGACATCTCCCAACTGGACCGTGATGAGTCATGATCGTGCAAAAGAGCTTAACCAAGCATTGAAAACAAATATGATGTTGACTGATTTACCTCATCTTCTTCCAAACAAGAATTGAAAGCCGCTGGTTAAATGCTAAAATAAACAATGCGTCGTATCCGAACATAATTCATGCTTATTGAGACTAATGGAATTACCCTTACAATAACACTTACTAGTACATAACATCATTTCTTGATTCAGATGTCACTGTACTAAAACTAGAAAACCCTTAATTAAGCTATTCTACCCCAGAACAACTGCTAGATCCACGTCAGCTGTAATTCCACAGTAAACTTAAAGTACAAATAAGAACTACTTTCTTTATCAGTGAAAGGATGAATTCAGTCTTCTTGTATCTTAGTGTCTCTTTTAACATTATCACACAATGGTTACTACCTGAGAATTAAATTAGTATTTGTAGCACAGAATGCTCATTTATTAGCTGACGTGATAAGGCGTACGTGTTTACGTGTTTCGGTATTTTACTTGCCTTCTAAAACGGTTCCACTAAGCTATTTCCATTAGCAGTCATGTGAATTCGTCGCCGCCTTTCTTAATCCGGGGATCATGCTACGAAAATTCTTAGATTTTATGCAAGAGTCCAATATTCCCACGGAGATTTAATGACAACTGGGTTATTTCCCTCGTCAAGAGGACTTGCAAAAGCTTATTTCTTAATGCAAAAAGATCAAAAATCTTGAAAATCTTGTCCTCAGAACCCAACAAGGTTTCTAGAGTAAGTCAAAGTTGTATCTGGTTTGATTGCACCCAACAGAGTGCAACTGTAACCCTCCGTGAGAAAATGCATCGTAAACAAACCGATAGATGGCGGTATTATTGCGTGGACTGGCGGTATTATTCAGTTGTATGCAAATCAATAAATAGGGATGGCTATCTCGAGGGGTTTTTTCGTCTCATCTTAATTTTTAATTCACTTATACTAAACATGTTTGTTCTGCGGAGACTTAAGCCTGCTCAAATGAAGGCAAGCCCTATTTCTCATTCATTGAAGGCCGGTACTTTCTTGAGAGGTTTTGCTTTGCTCACTGAATCTCAACAAAAGGACATGAGTCAGCAAATGTTCTTGGTTGGTGAACAGAATGGATTCCTCCCTCGTCAAGACCCCCTTGCTGAGCTTCCCTCCGAATTTAGTAAGCTCGAGTCGCTTTTGCAGCGTATGCCTCTTCAGCTGCCTGATGGCTCACCTGGTTTGTTGGCAAGTGGCCAATTTGGCGATGCTGTTCGTGATGAACTTCCTATTTATGATGTTGACCATATCAATGATCAGCGTCTTTTGTCAGGTAAACGCTCTCATTTTAGAGTATGAAAATGCTTAAACCCTATTAGCCCTCTTTCGTGATTATACCTTTGCCGCATCTGCTTACCTGCTTGAGCCATGTGACATCCTCTACCGCTCACGGAATGACTATGGCTTGGGAAGAAAGGTATTGCCTGCCAATATTGCTATTCCTTTGACCAAGGTTTCTAGCAAGATTCGCAGCCAACCTTTTATGGAATAGTAAGTTCATATAAAGAAAACTTGTCTGCAGCATGTTCTAACGCGTTTATAGTGCTTTAAGCTATGCGTAAGTAACACTTTAGCTACACTTTGACATCATAGATTGATTTCATATTAGTTTATACAATTACAAAAAAATCAATCCTTCTGGAGGCTTAACTTATGACAATCTAGCCCTTATTCGTGCCTTTGCCGGAAGTGAATCTGAGTAAGTCTTTTTTTTTTTTTATACACCATTTTTATTAATGTTCATTATAGAAAAGGATTCGTACTTAATCACGTTACCATGGTCTCTTATTCCCCCTATCTCGTTCGCTATGCTGTAGGTGCCCTTGATGCAGCTGAGAAAGGCGATCGTGCTAGATTTGACCAACAATTGGCTGGACTTAACGAGACGTACGAATCAATCAATCGAGAAATGGAAATGATGTGGACTCGTAGTATGCCCGAAGACTACATCAAGTTTAGAACCTTCATCATGGGAACAAAGAATCAGGTAGGGATGATGACTGTTTAGAAAATAACCGAGAATGACTTCTTACTTGTCTCAATTAGCCCATGTTCCCTGACGGTGTTATTTATGAAGGTGTTAGTGATAAGCCTATGGTTCATCGCGGTGAATCAGGTGCTAACGACTCTATGGTTCCCTTGGGTGACAACTTGCTTCAAATCACCGAACGTTTGCCTGAGAACCCCTTGACGCATGTCCTCCGTGACTTTAGAAAGTATCGTCCCACGAACCACCGTGAGTTTTTGGAGTACGTTCAGGACAGGGCCAAGCAAGTTGGCCTCAAGGAATTCGCCTTGCAAGATCCCAACTCGGCTGCCATTTACCTTTCCAATGTTGATCAAATCCGTGCTTTTCGCCACAGACATTGGAACTTTACTAAGGAGTACATCATCAAGCATACCGAGCATCCTGTTGCCACGGGTGGTTCTCCCATCGTCACATGGTAAAATGATCATCTTTATTACTTTACCATCTCTAATATAAACATAAATTAGGCTGCCCAATCAACTGAGTACTGTACTCGATTTGTTGGAGGATATTGGAAGTAATATCCCCAGAGAAAAGCTTACCGAAGCTAACTTGCTTCGTGTGGAAGAAATCGCTAAGCGTGCCCAAGCTCAAAGACGATTCCTTGACCGTGAAGTTGAGAACCTCAAGAAGCGCTTCCGTGACCAGGACAGAACTTAATAGGTTCTGCAGTCTATTGATAATAAAGTGCCAATTTGGGTTATTAATTCTTTTTTGTTTTGTTTTTGTTCCCCAACATAATATGAACTTTTCGAAGCCTTCTCTTCCAGTTATATTCTGACACATTGGGAATGTGTACACATACACTTAAATCTCCTATACATTATCTTCATCACAATGGGAAATTTTGGCTGGGGGTTTGAAGAAAATTTTACTTGGGACACTCTGCTGTCATTACTGGGACATTTTTGAAAAACCCAAAAATGTCCCAAGCCCAGAGCCTTTTCTTAGGACATTTCGTTTTTAAGAGTTGACGCTATTGGCTGCAATTTAACTCTTCACTTCAAAAGCAAAGCAAAAAATAAACAGCAATGATTTTATTTAGGACAATCAGTGGACGACTCTGGGACATTCACTTTTCAGGACAAAATTTCCCATAGTGCATCTTGCTTTTTTAGAGAAATAAGAGCAACTTAAAAGTAGAAGACAAGATTAATAAATATTATAACCTGTCTATTGATTTAATTTGCATTCATAAAGATTTATCTGTTACTTCTAAAGTATATAAAGATCTT